ACAGGGTTACAATGGTCAACATGAACTGTAAACTAAGGACGTGGTGCAAATCGTCTCGATCTCACGCAATCAGTGGTGGATTGGATCAAATCGCAATGGATTAGGTGTGATTGCCCCGATCTGACGCAATCATCGATTGCCCTCCGCGCCGTGCGATCTCACGCATGTTTTTCTTCGAAACAAGACGGAATGTCAAACGCGCCTTCCAGGCTAGTTGTAAGTCCCTTCCAGCTCAGAGTTGGCGAAATTAAGCGACTGTCTGTATCGCGCAATAACAAGGTAGCCCCATTATGTCACCCACTCGAATTGGCACCATTCGATTAATTGGGTATGAGTTGATTGGCCCTGAGGTTCAGTCTGGAAAATTCGACTGTCGCGAGATATTCTGTAGCAGCGAGCAGAAGCGAACCTCAGCGATGATGGTTACAAATCGTACATACTTGCCAACTCCCCAATCTATCAATTGCAATCGATTGCATCAGATCGAGGCGATCGATCGTAATCGATCTCGATCTCGATGGCGATCGACAGATTGCCCCTGATTGCCCAAAATTACTCTTTGGACCTTCTTGGAAATTGTGGATTGGGGGATCAAGGCAATCAGACTCAGATCGCCCCGATCTGCATCATGTCCTAACTCGTGCAACACGCCCAGAGCCACCATACTATGAGATCATTTAGGCCAGGGAGGGGCTGGCACGAACAATGAAGATATGAGTGCTGCTACTTTTCAGATGAGGCGTGCCGAACACGCCACGCGTGGTGACTTCGAGTTCCAATTGAGACATGCCTTCTTCTGGCGGTGCGTGGACTTCTGCTTCGACGATGGTGGCCAGTCCGCGGCCGGCAATGGCGCTGGTTGACGTCGTCGGCGTGTGGCAATCCCTGCAGATGCCGTCTGTGTCGGGGTCGTGCAGCGCCGTTTCGCGTGGGTGGGGATGGTGCGGCACCCACGGTCTTCCGTCAGGGTGCTTCCAGTCCCTGCGGTGGATGTGCTCGAAGCGTAGTGGCACGAGGTCGATTAACTCGTGCGAATTGCAGCTGCAGTCGGGGATGTCGAAGTCCAGGACATACACTCCATTTTCGGAGTGTGCTCGTCCGATCTGCCTGCGGGGGAAGTTTCGGGACTCGTAGTGCAACAGGATGTCGCGCGTCGCGCGATCCGTGCTGAGTTCGACGCCGCAGTCCATGAGCTGTGCGGCGGAAAGCAGGTTGAAGCGCAGGTTCTGGACGATCAGCACATCGTTGAGTGTGATGTGCGTGCGGCTTCCGCGTGCCTTGAGCACGACGATGCCTTGCGCACTTGCGCGCAGGCGTGTGTTGTTAGCCACGGTGACGTAGGTGACTGTCGAGGTGGCGACAGCGTTGGATATGTAACGCTCGGAGCCCACCATATGCTGGCCGCAGCAGCTATCCAGGTACCAGGTGTTGAAGCGCTTGTTGTCGTCACGTGCGAGCAGCGCCAGTCGCGGTGTGACGATGTGCGGAGTGTCGAACTTCAGAAATTGCTCGCGCGAGAGCCAATCAAGTGGCGCCACCCGCATATCAGGTACGTGCGGGGGACTTTCAAGCAGCGGGACTGGGAGATTCCAGTCCTGGGCGTCGTCGTCGGTGAAGTCGTGGCGCGGGCTAAAAGGTTTGTTGTTGTTGAACGCGCCATGGGGTCCGCTGCGGGCTCAGGTGAAGGTGAGCGCACGCGGCGACGACGTGATTCGCCTGTCATGGCCATGTTGCTCATGACGTTGCGTACTGGGGCAGTCGATGGTGGCTGCTGCTGCTGATGCTGAACCGTTGGGTTCAGGTTGCGCGCGGGTGGGGGTTGATACCCCTGGGCTGGACGCACGTCGCCTCGTACGTCTTGTCGGCCGGACCAGTTGCTCGGATTGGTCTGGCGAGGGCGAGATCGGTATTTACATCGATCCGCCAAGTGCCCGAAGGTTCTGCAGATTTTGCAGTAGAGGCGCCGCGGTCTTCGCTCTTCGTTGTTGTCGGCGTAGAAGGCGAGCCGTTCTCTTTCTCGTCGTGGCGCTGGTCGCTGCTGATCCATATCCCGTTGTTCGACGACAAGTGCAGCGCAGAGGGCGGCCTCCGAGATGACCCCCTGCTGTCGGAGAAGCGCCTTGCAGGGCCGCCACTCTGGGCCAAGCCCTTGAAGCACGATGTTCACGAAGATTTTTTCGGAGATCGAGCTTCCTAGCTTCACGATTTGGTCGCGAAGGCTCCGACAGCGATTGATGTAGCTGTTGACCTTCTCCCCTGAGACCATTTTGGTCTCCAGCAGCTGCTGAAGCAGTCGGCTCGAGGAAACGGAGTCCTTCGGCTGATACACGCCGTTCAGGTGGCGCCAGGCGTCGAGGGCTGGAGCAGCCGATGTCTTGTACGAACGAATGTTGAGCTGCTCCGCCGGCGACATGTTGCGCAGGAGGACTCCGTACGCCATCAGAGACTCGTTGTAGTAGCGAGTCCTGGCGTCGTTGGTGTCCTCAGCGGGCTCCTGGTAGCTCCCGTCGAAGTAATGGAAGATTTGGGCGTTCTGCAGCAGGAGCTCTAGTTCGAAGCTCCAGGTATAGAAGTCTCTGCCGTCAAAACAGGTACTTGTCTTTATTTTTGATATGCTGAGAAACCTTGATTGAGCAGAAAGAATTGCCTCTTCACTGGGACGGGGAGCTTTGGGGGTTGAGCCATTTGTGTCGAGGGAGAAAGTTTGCGGGACGGCGTTCTGCCCAGTCGGGGTCGGTTGAGATGGTTGCGAGGATGTTCCCGCATCGCCGCTTCGCAATGTTTGGAGCCCTTGCTCCAGGCTGGTGAGTCGCTGAAGTAGTTGTGCGAGGACTTCGGTGCCGATCGTCGTCGTGTTCTCGCTTGTCGCAGCCGGGTTGGGTTGCGCTTCAGCCGTCAGATTAGTCTGACCACCAGATCCTCCGGCCATTCTCACACGCGATCGTGTGCCGGACGCCACTTTCCGAATGTCGCAATTTTCGGGAGTGGCAGTGCGAAGGATTCCCGAGCCGCTCTCATACCATGCTACGATCAGAAGTTGATCGTCACCAGGATCTACTCAGGAAGGTTCGCACGCAGTAAGGTAGTGTTGGTGGGCCCTTGACCTCAATAGCAGAGTGAATGTAAAATGCTTGAGATGAATTAAAACATGCAAATACAACAAATATAAATATGAGTACAGGGAAGGCGAAACGTCCTAGCTAGCCATGTACTCTAAGGGGTACATTTCCTTATTCAAAATTCAACTTTGCGGCGCGTACAGTTACGAAACTGTTCCCGCCAAAGCCATCCTGCCTGTAGCTGTACGATGCCTTCTGCTCCGACGGTCCAGAGTTGCATGATGCAAAATGTTGCAATGTACATTGATGCGGGCAAATGCGCCTGCAGAATGCAGCCATGGGCATGCGCGGCATGCGCTGTGTGACCCATCAGCATGAATTTGAAGGTTCTAACTACACGTGACAATGGCTGCGTTCTGCAGGCACGACAGAGGGGGGGGAGGCGGTAAATAGGAACCTTCCCCCAACTGCGTTTTTTTGTTCAAACGCCCGGTCAGCCCGGAAAATGGATCCGAGCCTCTCATTTACCCTCCGAACGTAAACGAAGGTAAATGGCAACATAACAGTCATTTACCCTCGTGGATATGTGGGCGTAGGAAGCTGCTTATTTCCCCACCCCACCTTCCTTCTCTAGCAAAATTTGCCTCCTCCTCCCCCCCTTTCGAAAACTGCTCTTACCCGGGATGTGAGACGGAGGGGGGAGGGAGGTGCTGGGTTAGGGAACACCACACTTGAACCCTGGAAAGTAAACAGCCCCTCCTTTGAGTCGCCCTTGTTAAAGTGTAATGTGTTATATGTTGGTAGGCTGTAGTGGGGTAGCCAATATGGGGTACAACCCCAACTAGGGTTTGCTACTTGTACCCAACTGTTCCATTCAATGCACTCATTCTTGCCTAGTGATTCTGACATGGTATTCAGAGCAGGAGGTCCCTAGGACCTACCGACCGTTTTTTTTTAAGGGCCCACCACCGTGCTACCATGCTACCCCGTGCCCTAGCCTCGTAGCGCCCTCGTGCGCCCTCGTTAGCGCCCTCACGCGCCCCTCGTTAGCGCCCTCGCGCGCCCCTCGTTAGCGCCCTCGCGCGCCCTCGTTAGCGCCCTCGCGCGCCCCTCGTTAGCGCCCTCGCGCGCCCCTCGTTAGCGCCCTCGCGCGCCCCTCGTTAGTGCCCTCCCGCGCCCCTCGTTAGCGCCCTCGCGCGCCCTCGCTAGCGCCCTCGCGCGCCCCTCGCAGCGTCGCCCGCCCGCCGAGCCGCCCGCTCGCAGCGTCGCCCGCCTACCGCGCTGCCCGTTTCGCAGCCCGCCCGCCGCGCTGCCTGCTCGCAGCGTCGCCCGCCCGCCCGCTGCCCGCTTCGCAGCGTCGCCCGCCCGCCGCGCTGCCCGCTCGCAGCGTCGCCCGCCCGCCTCGCTGCCCGCTTGCAGCGTCGCTCGCCCGCCTGCTGCCCGTTTCGTCGCCCGCCCGCCCGCTGCCCGCTTCGCAGCCCGCCCGCCGCGCTGCCCGCTCGCCGCGTCGCCCGCTCGCCCCGCTGCCCGCTTCGCAGCCCGCCCGCCGCACTTCCCGCCTGCAGCGCCGCCTGCCCACCGCGCTGCCCGCTTCGTAGCCCGCCCCCCGCACTACCTGCTCGCCGCGTCGCCCGCCCTCCGCGCTTCCCGCCGAGCTACCTACCTGCAGCGCTGTGGCAGCTTCCTTTGCTCAGTCGCGCTGTCGCTATGGCTTCCATCCGCGTGCTGTCGTTCGATGCTGAGGGCCGCCCTGTGAAGTTCGCCACTTGGCTGGATGACCTGCAGCTGTTCCTTCTGAGCGATAGCAAGGAGCATGTGTCGCTCTATGATTACGCGTCTGGTGCTGCACCTGCCCCCCCTGCCACAGCTGAGCTTAGTGTTCGTTCCCACTGGCAGACTCGTGACGCAGCTGCTCGCCTAGCCATTCGCAGTCACCTGCCGCTAGCTGAGCTCGAGCATTTTGGCGACTGCAAATCCGCTAAGGCCCTGTACGATGCTGTCGTTGCTCGCTACTCCTCGCCTGCCACAGCCGAGCTTAGCCGCCTCATGCTGCCGTACCTGTTCCCCGATCTGTCCACCTTTGCTACAGTCGCCGATCTTATCACCCACCTTCGCACTAGTGATGCTCGCCTGCGTGCCGCCCTTCCCACCGAGTTCTGCGCTAAGAACCCCCCTCCACTGTACTGGACACTCCACTTCATAGTCACCCGTCTCCCTGACACCCTCAGCTCAGTTCGAGACCACTTCCTTGCTCGCTGTCCCACTGAGCTCACAGTCACCCTCCTAGAGGAGCAGCTGCTCGCGGCCGAAAAGAGCATTGTAGCTGTCGGTGCTGCTCGTGGCGCTCCTCGCACCCCCATCTTTGAGGGGTGTTCTCCCTCTCCCCTCGCTCCCTCCTACGCTACTGCTGCTGCTGTTGACTTCCTTGGTGCTGAGTCTGTTGGCGCTGCTTCTGCTCCTGGTGGGAGGCGCCGCACCGGCAAGGGCAAGGGGGGCAAGGGTGGTGGTGGTGGCGCTGGGGGAGGAGGTGGGGGAGGTGGGGGGGGAGGCGGTGCTGGAGGGAGCGGTGGCGGGAGCGCTGGTGGGAGTGGGGTCGGCGGTGGAGGCGGGGGCGGCGGAGGAAGCAGTGGCAGTAGTGGCGGCGGCGGCGGTGGCGGCGGTGGCGGTGGTGGCGGTGGTGGCGGTGGCGGTCGGAGCGGTGGTAGTGGTGGCGGCGGAGGTCGGAGTGGAGGCACTGGCTCGGGCCAGAGCTCCCAGCAGCAGCAGCGTCCCCAGACGACCCAGCAGCTTCGTGAGTGGCTTGCTCAGCGTGGGACGTCGGGGGGCAGTGGCCGCTGTTCTTATGTCATTCGCACAGGTGACCGCAAGGGACAGACGTGTGGGAGGTTCCACACCCCGTACCGCTGCTTCTCCCGCCTTGACGACGCTTGGCGTGAGGAGATGGGTGCGGATGTTGAGCGCCCCCGCTGGGCTGAGCTCATGAGGGCTGGTGTTGATGTCTTTGCTCTTGACTATGATGCTATTATTGCTGCCATGTATGCATTGACTGTTAGTGCCGAGGGAGACTGTTACTTGTGTGTGCCGCCTGACCCAGGTATAGAGCCCGCTGCCCTGGGTACTAGTGAGTCTGCTCTCTCTGGTATGGTGCCCCCTGTACTTGCTCCCTCCAGTGCTGTCCCGGCTGTTTGCGAGTCTGCTCTCTCAGGTACAGCACCCACAGAGACTGCTCTCTCAGGTACCGCACCGGCTGAGGCCTGTCACACCTTCACCCTTGACTCAGGTGCTTCCCGTTGCTTCTTTCGTGACAGTACTGAGCTCACACCGCTTCCTGCACCGGTCCCAGTCTCCTTGGCTGACCCCTCTGGGGGCCCAGTCCTTGCCCAGTCCACCACTGTCCTCCCTTGTCCGGCGGTTCCGTCTGGCTCGTTGTCGGGTTTCCACCTCCCCTCGTTCTCGACGAACCTGGTGAGCAACGCTGTCCTCCAGGATCATTGGGTTGACACCTTTACCCCTGGAGGACAGCGTGTGGCGATCTGCACGTGCTCCAGGACCGGCCGTCACCTGGCTACGTTTACCCGTCGGCCGGGGTCGAGTCTCTACACACTGACCACTGCGTCTCCTCAGGTCGCTGCTGTCGGTCAGGTGTCTGCGTCAGGTCTGGTAGCCCACGCCTGTGAGTGTCGTTCCCTGTCGCACCAGACTCTTCTCTGGCACCACCGCCTGGGTCACCCCTCCTTGCCACGCCTTCGTGGCATGCACCGTCGCCACCTTGTGTCTGGTCTTCCCAGGTCCCTCCCTCCCCTCCCTGCCTCGCCTGCGCCGCCTTGCCTTCCTTGCGTCGAGGGGCGGTAGCGCGCCGCTCCTCACTCCTCCTCGTTCCCCCCGACAGAGGCTCCTCTGCAGACCCTCCACCTGGACGTGTGGGGCCCAGCCCGCGTTCGTGGTCAGGGCGGTGAGCGGTACTTTTTGCTGGTTGTCGACGACTACTCGCGTTACACCACGGTCTTCCCCTTGCGCACCAAGGGTGAGGTCCCTGCTGTTCTGATCCCTTGGATCCGCACAGTTCGTCTCCAGCTCCGCCGCCGTTTCCGGACGGATCTTCCTGTCCTGCGTCTGCACTCTGACAGAGGTGGTGAGTTTTCCTCCGATCTCTTGAGGACCTTCTGTCAGGCGGAGGGCATCGAGCAGACCTTCACGCTTCCGGACTCCCCACAGCAGAATGGGGTTGCTGAGCGCCGCATTGGCCTGGTCATGGAGGTCGCTCGTACCTCCTTGGTCCACGCGGCGGCTCCCCATTTTCTGTGGCCGTTTGCTGTCCGGTACGCCGCGCATCAGCTCAACCTCTGGCCCCGTGTCTCCTTGCCGGAGACCTCGCCCACACTGCGTTGGACGGGGGAGGTTGGCGATGCGTCGCGCTTCCGGGTGTGGGGTGCTCGTGCCCTTGTCCGCGATACGTCCGCGGACAAGCTCTCCTCCCGCACGCTTCCCTGTGTCTTCCTTGGCTTTCCCCCTGACGCGCCTGGCTGGCAGTTTTACCACCCCACCTCGCGCCGGGTCTTCGCCTCTCAGGATGTCACCTTTGACGAGTCGGTCCCTTTTTACCGTCTCTTCCCCTACCGCACTGCCCCCCTCCCTCCCCCGCCGCTGTTCCTTGCTCCTGGTCCCCCTCCGGTAGACCCCCTCCCCCCTCAGGGTCCTGCTCCTTCAGGTGTCTCTCAGGTAGACCCTCCTCCCGTCGCTGAGCCTGTCGAGGTCACAGGTGACTCAGGTGCTGCTGCAGGTGGTGCTGCTGGGAGTGCTGAGTCTGGGGGTGCTGAGCCTGCGGGTGCTGGGCCTGGGAGTGCTGGGACTGCGGGTGCTGGGGCTGAGGGTACTGTGCCTGAGAGTTCGACGCCTGGGGGTGCTGTGCCTGGGGGTGCTGCGACTGGGAGTGCTGAGCCTGCGTGTGCGGAGTCTGGGGGTGCTGAGCCTGCGGGTGCTGAGCCTGGGGGTGCTGCTACTGAGCCTACGGAGCCTCGGGTTGCTGCGTCTGGGGGTGCTCCGGTTCGGGGTGCTGAGCAGTCTCTCACACCGCAGCAGCTTCGTGACTGGTACGTCCGGCGCTTTCGCCGTCCTCGTGGCTCGGCTGGAGTTGGGGGTGCTGGAGCTGCTCGTCCTGGGGGTGCTCGTACTGGAGCTGCCGGGACTGGTTGTTCTGGGAGCGCTACGACTGGAGCTGCTGGAGCTGAGGACTCTGGCGCTGGCGGTGCTAGCGGAGTTGGAGCTGCCGCCTCTGGGGGTGCTCTTCCTAGCGGTGCTGCGGACCCTGGGGGTGGCACTGCTGCTGGTGCTGCGGACCCACCTGGTGGAGCTGCTGCTGGAGCTGAGGACCCGAGCGGTGGCGCTGCTGCTGGTGCTGGGGACCCGGACGTTGGAGCTCCTGCTGGTACTGAGGACCCGGCCGCTGGAGTCTCTTCTGCTTCTGGAGACGCTGCGCGGCCGCGACCGTACTTCGTACCGCTCCTTCAGCAGGTTCTTGGGCAGGCTCCTCCTCCTTGTCTTCCTCCCTCCGTAGAGTGTCCTCCGCCTGTCCAGCCGCAGTCACAGTTACCGCCTACCTCGCCTCTCCCTGCTCCCTCTCCTTACACTGGTCCCACAGGAGGTCTTACCGAGCGTCGTGAGCCTGAGTCTCGTCCTGCGTCGCCTGTTCGTCCTGCTCGCACTGGTAGTCGTGTCCGTCGTGAGCGTCCTCCTCCTGTCCCAGGCACTCACTACATGACTCTGCGTCCCTCTACTGCTCCTCGGCGTGTCCCTCTACCGTCTCCTCCTGCGTCCTCTTTGCCTGCCGTTCCGGACCCTGAGTCTGACCGGTATCGCGCTGAGCACCCTACTGTCACGCGTCTCCTAGCTACTGTTGTCACTGACCCTACCTTTGAGTCCTCGGCTGCGTCTGCTCTGGTCGCTGAGTTGGTTGACTTTGCTGCTGCCTGTCGTCTAGACTACGCTGCTAGCCTTGTTGCTGAGTCTGAGTCTGCGTCTGTCTGTCCTCCGTCCGTCGGGGGTGAGTGTGCTCTTGGCACGGACGTCCTTGAGGACAGGCAGGAGGACTTTGACTCTCTTGCGGCTGCTGTACCTCATCTCGTGGCCTGGTTGCTTGCCCCTGAGGGAGACCCGGATGCACTAGACATCCCCACTCCGCGCACTTACGCAGAGGCGATCGAGGGTCCCTACTCCTCTCAGTGGCAGACAGCCATGGACGCAGAGATGGCATCCTGGAAGTCCACAGGCACCTACGTCGACGAGGTTCCCCCTCCTGGGGCGAACATCGTCGATGGCATGTGGATTTTCAGGGTGAAGCGGCCGCCAGGTTCTCCGCCTGTCTTCAAGGCTTGTTACGTTGCTAGAGGCTTCAGTCAGCGTCAGGGGGTCGACTTCTTCCAGACCTTCTCCCCCACCCCGAAGATGACCACTCTTCGGGTTCTGCTGCACGTTGCTGCTCAGCGTGACTACGAGCTTCACTCTCTTGACTTCAGCACAGCGTTCCTGCAGGGCAGCCTGCACGAGGAGATCTGGCTGCGCCGCCCACCTGGCTTTACTGGGTCGTTTCCCCCTGGTACCCAGTGGAGCCTCCGCCGGCCAGTCTACGGTCTCCGCCAGGCGCCACGTGAGTGGCACGACACACTGAGGACTACACTTGCGGCTCTTGGGTTCGCGCCGTCTACTGCTGACCCGTCGCTGTTTCTGCGCACAGACACGTCGCTGCCGCCGTTCTACATTCTCGTGTACGTCGACGACTTGGTCTTTGCTACTGCTGACACTGAGGCACTCGCTCGTGTGAAGTCGGAGCTGCAGAAGAGACACACCTGCACTGACCTGGGTGAACTGCGTAGCTACCTTGGCTTGCAGATCACCCGGGACAGAGCTCGCCGCACCATCACCCTGACTCAGTCACACATGGTGCAGCAGGTCCTTCAGCGCTTCGGCTTCCAGTTCTCCTCACCACAGGCCACACCTCTGGCTACCAGCCACTCGTGTCAGAATATTATGCTCTAGCCTGTAGTGGGGTGCTCTGTAGCGAGTACAACCCTTCTAGGGTTTGCTATTTGTATCCCCATTCTTGCTAGTTCAGTCCTCTTCTGCCTATTATCTCAACATGCTATCAGAGCAGGACGATCCTGTTGGGTCGATCCTGTGGGTGGGCCCACCACCAAATGCTTCCGCTGCTGTTCTACTGTTCTGCTGTACTACTGGAATTTTTTTTTTACGGATTTTTCATCCCGCCGCGCGCTCGGGGCGCGCGGCGGTTTCCTCCCGTGGGGGATGCCCGCGTCCCCCCGATCCCGTCGCCCGCGGCCCCGCTTTCCCGTCGCCCGCGGCCCCGCGATCCCGTCGCCCGCGGCCCCCCGATCCCGTCGCCCGCGGCCCCGCGATCCCGTCGCCCGCGGTCCCCCCGATCCCGTCGCCCGCGGCCCCGCGATCCCGTCGCCCGCGGCCCCCCGATCCCGTCGCCCGCGGCCCCGCGATCCCGTCGCCCGCGGCCCCCCGATCCCGTCGCCCGCGGCCCTGCGATCCCGTCGCCCGCGGCCCCGCGATCCCGTCGCCCGCGGCCCCCCGATCCCGTCGCCCGCGGCCCCCGATTTCCCGTCGCGCCGCCCTGGGGAGCCGCGCGCGGCCCCTCGCTGCCCCGTGGTGGCGTCCTGGGGGCCGCGCGCCGTCCCCCTCGCCGTCCCCCGTGCTCCTTCCCCCGTTCCGCCCGTTTTAGGGTTTGGGGGTGAGGAGTGTGGGGGTGGCAGCTATGGGGGTGCCGTGTGTGTGCGCCGTGCCCTGCTCCTCCTCCTCCTCCGTCTCCCACTGCTGCAGCTGCCGCTGAGGGGGGTGGATGTGTGGGAGCCGAGGGTTAGGGTTTAAAGGGGGGTACCGTCGGAGTGGAGCTAGGGTTTGAAGCAGAGGGTGTGTGTCGAGGGGTGTGGGACAGTTGGAGGAGGTTGAGCGGAGGCCGCCGTCGTGTCGTCCGCAGCGCCTGTATTCCGGGGGTCGATTAGCCACCGGTAGCTCAGAGAGCCGGTTGCGCCGTCGCCTGTGGGTCCGTTGCTCCTGCCGCGCATATTAGCCGCGGAGCCTGTTACTCCTGTACTCCGGGGCACTCATTCCCGGTAGCCACGTTGTCGCACCAGAGCCGTCTGTTGCCCGTGTGTCTGCAGCTTCAGTCGTCGCCTCCTATCTACTCTCCTCTCGCCAGCCCTCCTCCTCCTCACTTGCCCCCTGTGACTGCCTCTAGCTTTGCTCATAATTGTGAACCTTAAACTATTGCTTCTTGCTTGTGCTCAGAATGTGTGGTGACATTGTGATCCACCCTGAGCTTCCTCTGCTGATTACACCCCACTTTGGCTATGGGGGTGTGTCAGAATATTATGCTCTAGCCTGTAGTGGGGTGCTCTGTAGCGAGTACAACCCTTCTAGGGTTTGCTATTTGTATCCCCATTCTTGCTAGTTCAGTCCTCTTCTGCCTATTATCCCAACAACTCGCTCTCAGCTCCACCTTCGGACGAGTCCGTAGAGCCGAGTGGCCCGTACCCAGAGCTTGTAGGCTGCCTCATGTACCTGATGACTTGCACGCGACCTGACCTCGCGTACCCTCTTAGCATCCTTGCTCGTTACGTTGCGCCTGGGAGACACAGGCGAGAGCACTGGGAGGCTGCTAAGAGGGTGCTGCGTTACTTGTGCAGTACATCAGGCATGGGGCTGGTGCTTGGAGGACGCGACAGAGTTGTCCTCACTGGTCACTCGGACGCTTCTTGGGTGGACGACCTGGCTACGCAGCGGTCGTCACAGGGTTACACCTTCAGCCTTGGCTCTGGTTCTGTCTCGTGGCGGTCCACCCGCTCTTCCTCTGTTCTCGGCTCTAGTTGTGAGGCTGAGATCTACGCCACAGCCATGGCTGCACAGGAGTTACGCTGGCTCACCTACCTGCTGACTGACTTGGGAGAGCGGCCTAGTTCTCCTCCAGTTCTATACGGTGACAACAAGGCGGCTCTTGCCTTGTGTCAGGAGCACAGACTGGAGCACAGGACGAAGCACATTGCTCTTCGCTACTTTCTTGCTCGAGAGCTTCAGCAGCGCGGTCAGCTTCGGCTTGTGTACGTGGACTCGAAGGCCAACACTGCTGATATCTTCACCAAGGCGCTCCCGCCTAGTGATCATCAGCGGCACTGTACTTCTTTAGGCCTTGTGTCCACGTTTCCTCACTTGCTCACTGCTTGACATTCTTTGTACTGTACTTTATATATATCTTGTTGCTTGCTTGCTAGGTTTTGATCACTGTGTTGCTTGTCTTGTACTATATCTAGCACTGCATGTGAACTGGCCTTGTGGCCTTTGCTTGTGCTCGGAGTGTGGTGACGTTGTGATCCACCCTGGGCTTGCGTTGCTTTGCTGGACTGGTCTTGTGACCCTTTGTTCTCCCCCACTTTGCCTATGGGGGTGTGTTAAAGTGTAATGTGTTATATGTTGGTAGGCTGTAGTGGGGTAGCCAATATGGGGTACAACCCCAACTAGGGTTTGCTACTTGTACCCAACTGTTCCATTCAATGCACTCATTCTTGCCTAGTGATTCTGACAGCCCTAACAGGGACGCGTCAAACTAACAGCTAAAAAAAAGGTTTGAATCAGCGGGGTTTGTGTCTTGCTGGAGGGAGTGCAGGGAGGGACCCTTTTTTTCTACGTGGTAACCCTTCTCAAAAGTTCAACCCTTTTCCAGATTTCGCGCAGCTCTATCTACCCAACTTCCGAGAGTTGGAAATTGTGGCTGTTTTTTCGGCATTTACCTTCAGCAGCTTCGCACCCTAAACCCGAAATTTCCAACTTTCGGTTGTAGCGAGGGGGGGGGAGGTCTCGAAGGGGAAACTGCCTCGGAACCCTCGTCATTTCCCTTCGCCCCCCCACCTCCCTCCCAAGGGAAATGCCTACAGAACGCAGCCAATGAGGGGATAGAGGGGTTAAGATTTATAGCGGGAATGATACCCCGTCGTTAGTAGTGTAGAAGCTTCTTGTCACTTCCTCGTAACCCATCGAGTTCTGTTGAAAACGGTGCCTTGCGTAATTCTCGACAAACCCTTCTTTTATACAAATGCGATGACTAGAGTACTCTGAACATCGAATCCCGCTTCAGCCGTTCCGTCATGGCGATGGGCGGCGAAAGGCGCCGTCTTTTTAGCATTCGGCAGTTTTGGCCGATTCTGAATCGTCGATTTCACTCCCTCCTCCCTTCCGTCAACGGTCCATCTGCAAACGGGTTTCTCAACGCATCCACTAACCTTTGTGTCGGAGCGTCGAGTTCCGCAAATCACGGAACCTCATCAGGGTGTGGACGAGTTTTTGCGCCAACCACACCGGCGGGGAAACGCTGGGGGAAGCTTTCACCGAGCGCGACAGCGAATCTTCACGCCTCAACAATCTACTGCGCTCTTCCCCCCGCGAATAGGACTGCTTCCTGCCTTCCGATCATCACATCCTGGCCGTCGATCGCAAGCGTTCGCTTCTGTAGCAGTTACCATGCCGTTACAACAGTCCCTTTGTTGAGAGAAACAGCTGATCTCAAATCGAGCGAAGCGGGCCTGGACGAATTGGCACGCGACCTACAGCTTCGGCGAAAGTTCCACTCCGAACCGTGGGACTCACTCTCCGACGGTACCAGGGCTTCAAGCGACCAATTGCAGTCATCGGGCTGTCCCCATTGTGGTGCCGGGGCCGGAGCTGGTACGTACACATCTTCTGGCTTGTCGCAGTCCGGCTCTGAGAGGTGCTCGTCGAACGCCAAGGGGAGAAGAAGCGTGTGTCAAATTATATATGTAACATATATGTGTAGGCTGTAGTGGGGTAGCCAATATGGGGTACAACCCCTTTAGGGTTTCATATTTGTACCCAACTCTGATCTAGTTCATTCATTCCTGCCTAGCATTCTCAACATGGTTTCAGAGCAGTAGGTCCGTAGGACCGTTTTTTTCGGGCCCACCTACCGTTGCGGTTACTGAGCTGCCCCACCTGCCTTGCCTGTCTTGCCTGCGCTGCGCTTCACATGCGCGCCCTGCTTTGCCTGCGCTGCGCTGCCCGCGTGCGCTGCTCTTTTTTTTTTTTTTTTTTTTTTTTTTTCGCACGCGCGCCGCTTCAGCCGCCCGCGCACTCATTGCTGCCCCGCGCGCCGCGTCCGCCACCTCGAGCGGCCCGCCACCGCCCCGCGCGCAGCCCGCGCCGCGCGCGCCGAGCCCGCGCAGCCCGCGCGCGGCCCGCAGCTGCCCCGCGCTATGCCCGCACAGCCCGCGCGCGGCCCGCAGCTGCCCCGCGCACCGCCCGCGCAGCCCGCGCCGAGCCCGCACAGCCCGCGCGCGGCCTGTTGCAGCCCCGCGCGCTGCCCTACCTGCTCGCGCCGTGCCTCTGCAGCCTGCGTGCGGTCTACTACTGCTCTGCGCGCCGCCTTTGCCTGCTGCCTGTGCCTGCTGCCTGTGCCTGCTGCCTGTGTCTGCTGCCTTTGCCTGCTGCCTCTGCCTGCTGTCTTCGCCTACTGCCTTTGCCTGCTGCCTTCGCCTGCGCTGCGATTATGGCGACGCTTAATGTTCTCGCGTTTGAGCCTGACGGTCGCCCGATAGAGTTTGCCACTTGGCTCGACGACCTGCAACTGTTTCTTATGACTGATGCCAAAGACGGCGTTTCACTGTTCGATCACGCGTCTGGCACTGCCACTGCTCCTGCTGACACTGCTCCTGCTCTCGACCGCTCACAGTGGCAGACTCGCGATGCTGCTGCGCGCCTCGCTATCCGCAACCACCTGCCGATCACTGAGCGCGCGCATTTTAGTCAGCACAAGACTGCTAAGGCGCTGTATGACGCTGTAGTTGCGCGCTATTCCTCCCCAGCCACTGCAGCCGTAGGACGCCTCATCCTGCCCTACCTGTTCCCCGACCTGTCCTCGTTTACCACCGCTGAGGACCTTATCTCTCACCTCCGCGCTAGTGACGCCCGCTTTCGTGCCGCTCTTACGGACGAGTTCCTCACCAAGAACACCCCCCCGCTGTACTTTACCCTCTACATCCTCGTCACCCGCATGCCTGACACTCTTAGCTCGGTCAGGGACCATTTCCTCGCCAAGGACCCTACCACTATCACTCTCGACGACTTCGAGCAGCAGCTTCTAGCAGACGAGAAGAACATTCTCGCTGTAGGTGCTGCTCGTGGCACTCCTCGCACTCCCCTCTTCGAGGGGTGCTTCTCGCCTACTTGTCTCTGGTCTTCCCAGGTCTCTGCCTGCCCTCCCTCCCTCGCCTGCGCCGCCCTGCATTCCTTGCGTTGAGGGGCGGCAGCGCGCCGCTCCTCACTCCTCGTTCCCTCCCACAGAGGCTCCACTGCAGACTCTCCACCTGGACGTGTGGGGCCCCGCCCGCGTCCAGGGGCAGGGCCGCGAGCGGTACTTCCTGCTGGTCGTCAACGACTACACATGCTACACCACGGTCTTCCCCTTGCAGCGCAAGGGTCAGGTCCCTGATGTTCTGATCCCCTAGATCCATGCTGTTCGTCTCCAGCTCCGCGAGCGGTTCCAGTCGGACTTCCCTGTCTTGCGTCTGCACTCTCATAGAGGTGGTGAGTTCTCCTCTGACCTCTTGCGAGCCTTCTGTGCGGAGCGCGGCATCCGCCAGACGTTCACGCTTCCGGCCTCTCCGCAGTAGAATGGGGTTGCTGAGCGCCGCATTGGCTTAGTCATGGAGGTCGCTCGTACTTCCATGATCCATGCGGCTGCCCCCCATTTTCTGTGGCCGTTTGCGGTCCAGTACGCCGCGCATCAGCTCAACCTCTGGCCCCGTGTCTCCTTGCCGGAGACCTCGCCCACACTGCTGTGGACGGGAGAGGCTGGCGATGCGTCGCGTTTCCGGGTCTGGGGTGCTCATGCCTTTGTCCGCGATACCACCGCGGACAAGCTCTCCGCTCGCGCCATTCCCTGCGTCTTCCTTGGTTTTCCCCCTGACGTGCCTGGCTGGCAGTTTTACAACCCCGTCTCGCGTCGTGTCTTTGCGTCTCAGGACGTCACCTTTGACGAGTCAGTCCCCTTTTACCGTCTCTTTCCCTACCGCACTTCCCCTCGCCCCCCCCCGCCGCTCTTTCTCGCTCCAGGTCCTCCCCAGGTAGACCCCCTCCCCGCGCCAGGTCCTGCTCCTTCAGGTGTCTCTCAGGTAGACCCTCCCGTGCCTGCGCCTGTTGAGGTCACTGGTGACTCAGGTCCTGTTGGGGGTGGTCCTGTTCGGGGTACTGTGTCTAGGGGTGCTAGGCCTGGGGGTGCGGAGCCTGAGGGTGCTGAGCCTGGGGGTGCTGAGTCTGGGGGTGCTGAGCCTGAGCGTGAGGAGCCTGGAGGTGCTGAGCCTGGGGGTGTGGAGTCTAGGGGTGCTGAGCCTGAGCGTGAGGAGCCTGACATTGCGGAGCCTGGAGGTGCTGAGCCTGAGCGTGAGGAGCCTGGAGGTACTACGCCTGGGGGTGCTGCGTCTGGAGGTGCTGAGCTTGCGCGTGAGGAGTCTGGGGGTACGAAGCCTAAGGGTACTGAGACTGCTGGTGCGCGGTCTCCTTGGAGTAGCCGCCTTCGTCCGCGTGTCCCTCTCACCTCCCAGTAGCTGCACAAGTGGTACGGTCGCCGTCTGGGTCGCGCTGCTGGTGTTCGGGGCTCTGCCGCTGGAGGTGCGTCTGCTGACGTCGCTGGAGCTGGGAGTGGTGCTGGTCCTTTGTCTACTGGAGGTACTGGAGTCGCTGGTCCCGGAGGTGCTCGTACTGGAGGTAATGGAGCTGCTGGGGGTGCTGTTGCTGGAGACACTGCGGCTGGAGACCCTGGGACTGGGGGTGCCGGTTCTGGGGGTGTTGCTACTCGTGGAGCTGGTCCTGGAGGTGCTGGCGCTGGAGGTTCTGGAGCTGCTGGAGGTACTGGAGCTGCTGGTGCTAGTGCCACTGCACAGCCGCGACTGTTCTTCGCTCCGCCGTCTCCGTCGTCTCCGCCGCCAGGTTCTTAGCCTCCCGTATTCTACTGGTCTTCCATTACAGCCTGGCTCACCGCTGCCTGCTCCTTCTCCTTACACTGAGCAGACAGGGGGTCTTGCTGAGCGTCGTGAGCCTGCGTCACGTCCTGTCTCGCCTGTTCGTTCTGGTCGTACCGGTCGTCGAGTTCCTCGTCCGCGTCCGCCGACTGTCCGTGGTGCGCACCTCGTAGCCCTGCGTCCTTCCTCTGCTCCGCAGCCTGTTCCTCTACCGTCTCCCCCTGCGTCCTCTCTGCCTGCCCTTGCGGACCCTGAGTCTGACCGATTTCGTGCTGAGCACCCTACTGTCACGAGTCTGTTGGCCGCTGTTGTCACTGACCCGTCGTTTGAGTCTGCTGCTACGTCTGCCTTGCTGTTGGCCGCTGTTGGTCGCTGAGCTTGTTGACTTTGCTGCTGCCTGTCGTCTAGACTACGCCGCTAGTCTTGTTGCTGAGTTTGAGTCTGTCTGTCCTCCGTCCGTCGGGGGTGAGTGTGCTCTTGGCACGGACGTCCTTGAGGACAGACAGGAGGACCTTGAGTGTCTTGCGGCCGCTGCGCCTCATCTCGTGGCCATGCTGCTTGCCCCCGAGGGAGACCCGGATGCACCAGACATCCCTACCCCGCGCTCTTACGCTGAGGCGATCGCGGGTCCCTACTTCTCTCAGTGGCAGACAGCCATGGACGCAAAGATGGCATCCTGGAAGTCCACAGGCACTTACGTCGATGAGGTTCCCCCTCCTGGGGCGAACATCATCGATGGCATGTGGATTTTCAGGGTGAAGCGGCCGCCGGGTTCTCCGCCTGTCTTCAAGGCTCGTTACGTTGCTCGAGGCTTCAGTCAGCGAGAGGGAGTTGACTTCTTCCAGACCTTCTCCCCCACCCCGAAGATGACCACTCTTCGGGTGCTGCTGCACATTGCCGCTCAGCGTGACTACGAGCTTCACTCTCTGGACTTCAGCACAGCCTTCTTATACGGCAGATCTGGCTGCGCCGCCCACCTAGCTTCACTGGGTCGTTCCCTCCTGGTACCCAGTGGAGCCTCCGGCGGCCAGTCTACGGTCTCCGCCAGGCGCCTCGTGAGTGGCACGACACACTGAGGATGACACTTGCGGCTCTTGGGTTTGCTCCTTCGACTGCTGACCCGTCGCTGTTTCTGCGCACCGACACTTCGCTGCCGCCGTTCTACATCCTCGTGTACGTTGACGACTTGGTCTTTGCCACTGCTGACACTGAGGCTCTCGCCCTGGTGAAGTCGGAGCTGCAGAAGAGACACACGTGCACAGACCTGGGTGAGCTGCGCAGCTACCTTGGCTTGCAGATCACCCGGGACAGAGCACGCCGCACCATCACACTGTCTCAGTCACACATGGTGCAGCAGGTCCTTCAGCACTTCGGCTTCACCTGGTCCTCGCCACAGTCCACTCCTCTAGCTACAGGTCACTCGCTCTCAGCTCCACCTTCGGACGAGTCTGTAGAGCCGAGTGGTCCTTACCCAGAGCTAGTGGGCTGCCTCATGTACCTGATGACCTGCACTCGACCTGACCTTGCGTACCCTCTTGGTCTTCTGGCTCGCTACGTGGCTCCTGGTCGGCACCAAAAGGTGCACATGGATGCTGCGAAGAGGGTACTGCGCTACTTGTGCAGTACATCGGGCATGGGGCTCGTGCTTGGAGGGCGGAGTCCAGTTGTCCTCACTGGGCACTCAGACGCTTCTTGGGTTGACGACCTGGCTACGCAGCGGTCGTCACAGGGTTACACTTTCAGCCTTGGCTCTGGCTCTGTTTCTTGGCGTTCTACTCGTTCGTCTTCTGTTCTCAGCTCCAGTTGTGAGGCTAAGATCTACGCCACAGCCATGGCTGCACAGGAGTTACGTTGGCTCACCTACCTGCTGACCGACTTGGGAGAGAGGCCTCGTTCTCCTCCAGTTCTGTACGTCGACAACAAGGCCGCCATTGCCTTGTGTCAGGATCACAGACTGGAGCACAGAACGAAGCACATCGCTCTGCGTTACTTCCTGGCTCGAGAGTTGCAGCAGCGTGGTCAGCTTTGTCTTGCTCACGTGGCCACTCGGGCTAACACTGCTGATATATTCACCTTCCGTCTGGTGATCATCAGCGCTTTTGTACTTTGTTAGGCCTTGTGCCTACGTTTCCACACTTGCTGTAGACTCTGCTTGTACTGTGATATATATATATATACATGCATGCTTGCTCTTGCTAGGTAGTCATCATTGTGTGTGCTGTTATTGTTGCATATATACCTCTGCATGTGAACTGGCCTTGTGGCCCCTTGCTTGTGCTCAGTGTGTGTGGTGACGTTGTGATCCACCCTGAGCTTGCTTTGCTCTTCTTGACTGGTCTTGTGACCCCTTGCTCTCCCCCACTTTGCCTATGGGGGTGTGTCAAATTATATATGTAACATATATGTGTAGGCTGTAGTGGGGTAGCCAATATGGGGTACAACCCCTTTAGGGTTTCATATTTGTACCCAACTCTGATCTAGTTCATTCATTCCTGCCTAGCATTCTCAACAGCGTGAGCACGGGCTGATTATTGCCCGTGACCACATAAGGCACGGAATACGCAGGAGACGGAGGAACGCGGGGAGCAGGAGGAGCAGGAGGCGCAGGAGGCGCTGGAGGCGCAGGAGGAGCAGGCGGCGCAGGAGGTGCACGAGGTTGTGGTGGCTCTGATGGGATACGGCTATACCACCCGTCTGCGTCAACTGTAAACGCTGGCCTAGCGGTAGGCTTCTTCTTGAACAAGAAATGTGTGCTGGTGAATTCCGCCATGGCTTTCGCAGCCAGGCGGGAGAGAAGACGAAACTGAATGGGAAACTGGATGAACGAGGGAACAAATGACAGATTGAAGGGGACCCCTTCGGCTCAGCGCCTCGGGGTCCTCGTCAATGAACGAGGGTTACCTCCCTACCTGAACCCGCAGAGGAGGGTTCATGGCACCATCCATGCTGCGCTGGCAGGGCATCTTCTACCCCCTTCTAGAGGGTTCGGTCGAAATGCTCCTGCCTGGCAGCGCATGACGACCTAATTGGGCCGCACGGCAGCTTTCGCGTCAGCGCTGGCAGGTGCATTGCTCTGGGACATGTTTTGTGGGAATTTGAATCGCGGCAAGTTTCGTCGTGATTCCATGCACGATCCCATGCGCACGTCACATCTGTGTATTCGCCTTAGTGAGAGCTTCAATTTAGTACCTTTATATTTGAATTTCATTTTTGCCTTTATAAAAGCGCCGGCGCTTATGGCCGTTACTCAATTACAAGCGCCACCCTTGAAAAAACTAATTTTATTATAAGCGCACCTGCGCTACTATCCGGGGCCATACGGTAGGTGATACTATGTCAGAATCGAAAGTGTTGCATTGACAATGTTGGTTGGGGTACATAAACCTAACCCTAAGAGTTGTACCCCCTATGACACACATCACATTTCACACAAGCTGTGAAGCCTCGTCGGATGAGCTCGTGGACCTGGTCCCCCTCGAATTCGCCTTCATGAACGAAGAATCGTGGCAACATCCTGACGGGCGACCGTGGATTCGCCGCAGCCCACATCCGCGCGAAATCAATCTGCACAACCCCGACATCAACGGGCTCTGCACCACCTGCCATACACCCGCTGCAAGCCGCACGGAACAAGTGGAGAAGGAATACGCGGCGATCCAGGAGGCAGAAAGCGCCGAGGAAAAACCAACTGGCATGACCGAAGAACTCACGGTATCAACTTACCGCATCTTGGCCAGGATGGTGAAATGCCCTCGCAGGGCACAAAAAGACAGCGCATCATTTGCAATTGGCTGTACGGCTAAGGTAAATCACATTGCGTTGCATTACACGGTACACCAGGAGGAAAAAAAGGCTTCAGCCAAGGAGTACCGGTAGCTCTGGTGGAGCAAGCAAAAGCTGGTGGTGGTGCCAGGTAGCCTGGATGGGTGAGGTGAATGCCACTGCGCGGCACAAAAACAGGCGACTGACTGGCACCACCATTCGATAAGTAGAGTTAGTGTGTACGAGTATGGGTGAATCCACTCCAGCGATGGAGAATCCACCCTGACCCGAGGGTAAAAAGACAGTCCTGCCGAGTGATGTATGGAGCAAGCCAGGCAGGGACAAAACTCATTCGAGTCACCACCGCCGGCCAAGGTGGGTGGAGCACACCTTGAGCAGCAGGAAAAAAAACCGGGTGACTGGCCGGCGGCATGCAGCCTTCCACCCCACTCCAATCTCCTTCCCTTCTCCTTTTCACGTCCTTTGAGTCAACTGAAAACCCGTCTGCCTGGCTGGCTCGGCAGCATGCAGAGAAAACGCGCCTTCCACCACCCCCTCCTTCACCCGCCTCTCCTCCCTGATACGTCCACCGCACATGACACCCTGCCATGCATTGTATGCAGCTGACCTGTGACTTTTGAGCAGACTCAAAGGTCACCTCTGCAGCTGACCTGTGCTATACTGCTTGCAACTGTACCAACATTCGGTTGTCTGTCTGCTACTACCACTCGCGCACTGAGAACTGAAGCTCCTCTGTAAGAGCCTTCCCCTGTTTGTCCGCCCACGACACGCTGCGAGGCAGAACGTGCCCCTCCCTCTTGCTGTGCTCTCCTCATTCGCTCTATGTGCGCGCGGAGGACCGAAGCTCCTCTGTCAGAGCCTTCCCCTGAGTGTCTGCCGACGACACAAAGCCCGCTCCTCCCTCTCGCTGTGCTCTCCTCACTGCCAGCTCTATGTGCGCGTGGAGAACTGAAGCTCCTCTGTCAGAGCCTTCCCCTGTGCGTCAGCCCATGACACACTGCGATTCAAAGCCGGAGATTGACCCGCTCTGCCTTGCTGATAGCGTGGGCTCGTGCGCAGGGCTGGGCGCAGAGAGTCGCAGCTTGTGGGGGCACTAGAAAGGGGGGTTCCTGGGGCGGTAGGCTCGTGACTGGAGTGACAGGGCAGGCGGGAGTGGGCAGGGGAGGCGGGTGAGAGACAGGGGTTGGCAGTGGGTGCAGAGGAGCGGGGGTTTGTTGTGGTGGGGATGGGTGTCTGGTTAAATGCAGAAAACTGTGAGAGGGTTGGTGGGGAAGGCACGTGGAGGGGAACAAGGGCGGAGGAGGAGGAGCGAAAGGAGTGAAAGGGAGAGGAGGAGGTGGAGGCAGGTGGCACGGAGGCACTGCGGTAGGGTGGGTAGGCCCAAGGAGAGGAGGAGGAGAGGGAGGAGAAGGACAAGGAGGAGGGGGATGAGGAAAACGACGAGGAGGAGGAGGTGCGAGAGGAGCGAGAGGAGTGAGAGGAGGAGGTAAGGGGCCAGGAGGCACTGCGATAGGGGGGGTAGAGCCAGGGAGAGGAGGAAGACGAGGAAGAGAAGGAGGAAGTGGTTGGGGAGAACGAGGAGGGAGGATAGCCGGATGGGGAGAGTGGGAGGTCAGGCATGCGATGACGGCCAGTCCACGATGGGAGGGGCGTGGAGAGCACATGTGCCTTGCAGGCTGCTTGCCGCACTCGCCTTGCCATAAGCCGCTGCCACACCCCCTCCCCTCCCACTGCCTCAACTCTAGCGACTTCCTCTCGCCCCTCCTCATCCCCACTGCCTTGCTCCTCTGCTTCTTCCTCTTCTCCCTGCTCCGCCATCTCATCACACCCCTGCTCCGCCATCTCATCACACCCCTGCTCTTCCTCCACTTGGCCCTCTCTCCTCCTCTCCTCATGCCTCGTTGCCTCTCCAACTGCTGCAGAGCATCGGGACGAATCATCCTCATCCCCACCAAGGCAACTGCTGTTCAGGTCCCCTCTCTCAACCACTCTCTCCCACAGCAGCGCCTCCCAAAAAGCAGCGCTCACACCGCCACTGCACCGGCTCGCTTCCCTGCTGCTGCCCTCCCCTGGCCGTCGCTGTGGGCCACAGCTGCTGTGCCTGCTGGGCCTGAGTCCTCTGCCCGCCCCACTGCCCGCCCCACTGTCAACGTTTGTGGCATGAGCGCCAGCGCTACCACTCGGGCCACTGCTGCCGCTGCTCCCTGCTGCAGCACTGACCTCCCAGCATCCTTCCACACTGCCCTGAAACGTCCCTGCCACTCCACTGCAGGCCCCATCGGACCCGTGACTTGCAGAAAACAATCCGCATGACTTGGTTTCCTGGGTGTGATTGCACGCATGGACAGGCAGGGCGCCCTCAAAAGCGGCAGCTCGTGTGCTTGCAGTCCACAGCCCACTTCCGCCCTCCCTGCTGCCTCGCACTCCCCTGAGGCTCTCTGCGTTCCCTCGCTGCCGCTCCTCATCCCTGCCTTCACCCCGCTCCGCCATCCTCTCCATCCCTTCCATCCCCTCCTCTCTTCCAGCCCCCGCCGTGAGAACCAAACTCAGGAAACCGCCTGGGCCTGTTCTCACTCCTCCGCCTTCCTTCCCTCCCTTACAACTCGCCCCTCTCACTCCATTCGCCCCTGCCACGCCACTCGCCCCGGCCATGCCTGCAGTCCACAGGCGGGCAGCAGCAGATTGCAGCCGCGCTGTCAGCGCAGCAGCAGCCTCCACCTCCCCCGCCTCCGCCCTTCCCTTCAATCCTGTGCCGCTGCAGCCGCCTTGATTTTCACACTGGAGCCTTGTCGAACCTGATGTGTCCGAACCTGATCCAACAGAAGCAGACACAGCCCAACGTGATCCAGCTGAGCGAGACATGGCCGAACCAGATCCAGCCAAGCCTGACGCACCAATAGAAGCAGCAGCGACGCAGCCAACGGAAGCACCATCGCCATCGGGCGTGGTAACAGCCATAACGATGGCAGTTAGATCATCCTTGCTCCTAACTCCCCATCCGCCCTCTATTGCGCGTTGCTCCCATGGAAAGCTGAGAATCGCCGCCCTGCCTCTCTCTTCACACCCCTGGCTGCAGAACTTTCTCAAGCCCGCTGTTATGTCAAAAATTGTTCGTAGCGTTACATCTACAGTGCGTGTACACTGCGGGTTACCACACAAGCCTGCGGCAGCGCGCTCGTTCATGACGTCACACAGCTCCCTCCCTGCGTGTCAGAAGCCGGGACGCGGCGTCCAGCTGGCGGCGTGTGATTGGCGGACCTTGAAGAAGGTGCAGCTGGATGCTGAAGGCAGCGAGGTGACGCGCCTGAAAGACAAGAAAGGGCGGGGGAGCGGAAGTGAGGAAATGGAGAAGCAGGGAATAATCAGTTAAAGTTCGCAATAGCACCAAATCTGCAACGCATGGGAAATTTCCCCTTCAAATGTGAAATAATCAATGATGGTGTAAGAAGAATTGAAACACGGTCCAGAGTCCAGACGGTTACCTGGCGGTTAAAGTGGGCGCGATCCACGTGGCTCTCTGCCTCGCCTTCCTGCTCCGCCGAATCTGCTTCTCTCGTGGAATAAGCTGATGTTGCCGTCGGGCAGATGGTTCTGAGTGGACTCGAAAGAATCCGATGCTGCTGCCATGGGGCACGAGGCTGGCCCATCGCCGCACATCTGACTGGCCACGACGGGTCACCACGGCAAGGGTCGTGAGATACTCGCTGCGCGGCGAGGCGAGGAGGGCGCCGCGGGAAGTGGAGAGGCGAGCGGTGAAGTGGAGAAGACAAGCGGCGAGGCAGGGAAGAGGAGACGATGTGTTGAAAAAAGAGCGTTGCGACGAGGAGTGAAGAATGAGGCAGCAAAACGCTTGCTTAAACTGCGGGAAGAGCCCTCGCCTAAAGTGCGGGACACAGCAGCTGCAGGGGATCGTTTTGACGCTATCGGTGGTCGGATAGGCCAGCTCATGCGGACGCTGTCCACGTCTCTTGGCGGATTGTGTGATCTCGCTGCGTAGGGAGGGATCGCCAGTAGGTCGCGTGTAGAAAGCGAGTAGGTGGACTTTGAGTAGGTGGAACGCGCGTAGGGGATGGTGGGGAATCAAAGTGGGGCAGGGATCCGACCGCGGCTGTTCGAGTGGAAGATTCGATTCCCGTCGCTGATATTCCGGTTCGTAATCGTTCGGTTTCCGCCTTGATTGGACGATAAGATGTAAGGGAGGCTGAGGGGAGACAGATCGTCAGGGAATTTCGCTGCAGGAGTCTCGAGACTCGTATTGCGCCACGCGGCTGGCAGAATTGAATCGCATGCCGACCAAAAACACCCTCGCCACGACGTGTACGCCGTGATCCCGCTGCGGTCCCCCCGAGACGCTGTAACTGGTCCCGCTACGGTCCCGCCGTGAGCACTGTAACCAGCCTGGCATCACACACGGGATCAGATTTGTATCCCAGTAGTGTACCCTGCGAACGCAAGGCTTTGCATCCATTCAGCAGTCGTGGCTGGCGTATCCGTAGCGTTGCGCGTCGCTGACATCGCAGACATCGTCGTGAGCGCCTTTCGAGCAAGGCTCGAATCGATGCGTTGGCCTTCGAGCCTGTCAGTCAGTGCAGCGTGTGCTGCTGTGCCTCGACGCGAGCTGCGACATGAATTCTAGGAGTTCAGGGTTTCGGGTTTAGGGCCGCCTTCACGGTTTATGTGTAGGAATCTTGTTCGCGATACAAGAGGTCCCGTACAACGTATGCATCCAACACTGGAACCAGGTAAGCTGTTTCAACGACAGGGAACACTGAACACTATTTTAGGAAATAAGGAAGTTGCTACTAAATGAACTTATGAAGATACAAGTATCGGTATAACTCCACCAACTCTGTACACGAGTAAGTTCTAATGAAACTCCCAGGTTGCTACCGGTATAATCCCACCAACTCATGCGCTTTAACCAGGCCAATGTCGCAGCAGATGGTAATGAGATGAGATCATGAGAACACATCTAAGCTAGATCCAACCTAATCCAAGCCCCACTAGTGACCACTTGTTCCATGCGAGTAAGTGCCTCTAGTCCGTTCATATATGTGTCGCACATGCTGTGTGTGAGCACAAGAGGGCACCTTTGCCACGTTTGCTTGCCGCCCTGCTGATCACCCATGGCACAGGCAGCAGCAGAACCATATAGCGTCCGTCTGCTACTCCTCCTCATGCTGCCGCTCAGGGCCTATGATATCAGGGTAAAATACCCTGATTACCCTGATTTCAGGGTATCCCCCTTGCCCTGAAGTTTCATGAACTCTGCACTTAAAGCCCTGAGATTTCAGGATGTTTGTTGTATATCACCCTGAGAATTCAGTGTGCTGTACACCGGCCTGCCCTGAGGCCTCGGGGTCAGGCCTTCAGATTCGTTTTGGGCCACCCTTAGTAATCAGGGTTCTAGGTATAGTCAACCCTGATGCTCAGGGTAATTTTTTTGTTTCCCTGACAAATGCAGGGTAAAAAAATTGTAAGTCTGTTTGGCCAGGGTATTTTTTTCAACATTATTTTATGTAAAATGCAAAACTAGTCAAATTTAGTAGTTGTAGGTCCAGTTGGTTCGATAAGAAGTTCGGTCTGAAAGGTCGCAGAATCAATTCTCGTTGTCGGGAGTGTTTTGCTGTAGTGTTTCGTCTCGCTACCGACTATTCGGTATTAGTGTTACTGAGCTTGTACACTGTACAGTCAGAGTAATATGTTCCTTACGCTGTTTTTCAAAAGGTATTTGGAAACTTACACTTTCTGGCCTAGGGTAAAAAATCCACTACCCTGCCTGTGAAAGGGTAACTGAAAAAAAGCGGCCGCCAGTCAGTGCAAAAAGGGTATTTTACCATGATAACGAGAGCACTGAGTCAGGGTGCTTGTATAGCATACCCTGAAACAATAGTGCTGTGCGCCTAGGGGGGCCCTTGTGCGAAGTCCATGATTTCTGTAATTTCGCGCCGAAAACACGTGAGTCGCCCCCCACCACTCACCGACGACAAAATTGCCCACGTGTGGCAACTTACAGCTGTGGAACAGGCGTGGCTGCATGTTACCCCTCTAACACCCACCACTAACACTTAACCATTTGCACGAACTCACACGTCTGCTGCTGCATGTCCCAAACTGGCCAATCGTAGCATAGTGTTAGTCAAGTTCCCGTGTGTAGGCTCTGTGCGCTGGCATTGCCTGAGTCGTCCGCCACCTCCCATCACCCCACCCATCTCAAGCCAGTGCATGTTGGTGGACCTGGCCACCTCGTATGACAATGTGAATACATTGCATTGCTAGAATTACACAACGTACAAACACAGAGTGGGAAAAAAATGCCTTGATACGTTAGGGTTCTGTTTAGGAATGCCCTGAGAAATCAGGGCCAGCCAGAGGGGTATGCCCTGAGGTCGACACGCTTTTCTGTGCCATACCCTGAGGGCTCAGGGTGCCCAAAAGTGAATCATAGGCCTTGCTGCCGCTGCTGCTATTCCAGCTGCTGCTGCTGCTACTACTCCTGATGCTGTTACTTGTGCTGCTACCTTGAACTCATTAGCACATCACATTATCAATGCCCCGCACAGTCGCCGTTGCCCCCCATTTACGGTACAGCAGGCAGCAAAGCCAACTAGCAGCTCCACCCTCTCTGTATCCTGCTGCCTCGCCAGCTCCTCTCCCACTACTGCTGGCATTGGCCACTCGGTTTGCAACAGGCTCGCAGCACCACGCCTTCTGCCGCTGATGCTGGCGCTGTTGTTGCTGGCACCAGCGGGGGAAGCATCAGCCATGTGGGAGGGAGGGCCATCTGTGGCCCTCCAACCAGCTGAGGGAATGGGCAGAGGGGAAAGGACCAATGTGAAATGCGGCTGTGACTGGGTTGCAATTGCCAATGCTGCTGTTGTAGCTGCCTCAACTCAAACCCACCCATCAGTGCTCCATCAGTCCTACCACCCACTTTTGAGTCGACTCAAAAGTCACCTCCTTTGCGTCGACACAAAAGTCCCATCGGTGCTCCATCAGTCATACCACCCACCACTCCATCAGGGACAGGGTGGCACAGGGGGGGTGGGAATGGGGGCAAGGAGGCCAGGAAGGCAGAAAAGCTGATGCGAGATGTATGCTGGATGGGAACAAAAAAAATTTCGCAGCAATCTCTGTGGCAAAGTTTGCCCAGTAGCACAGAGTTACTTGACGTACTGGAATGTGTCAAAATAAACAAAGAATGAGAAAAGCATGAGGATGGGGATGGGCGGATGGGTGGTGATGCAAGGCAGGGAGAAGTGAAAGGCGGATCTGAATA